TTTTCCCATTATTTTCCCATTACAAGTGTTTGGGACCATTTCCAATTTGGAGCAAGATGAAACACGTGGTCACTTTTTGCTTGGAGAATAGAGTTATCAAGGGTAGTGAAGTGGGTTTCGTTCAAGGGATGGTAGAAAGAGCTGAATGTGCTCCACTTGCTTTCTTACTACATAGTAGCGCAGAGAGAGAGAGAGAGAGAGAGAGAGAGAGAGAGAGAGAGAGAGAGAGAGAGTTGTTAGGGATAAAGCTTCTCTTCTCCTGAAACTTCCATTTTGAACGAAGGTTGCGAAGTGCTATTCTTCCCTCCCAATGCCATCTTTCCATCATTAAAGCCTGGCCTGTTACGATGACCATTGTGGGTTATGTGAGGTTTGGCTAGGTCGGGGATTATAAGGTATGATAATCATGTTATTTCTATCTTTGAATCGCTAGCTACATGCATGCATGTGTAGCCCTAGTAATTCCATAAATGGTTGATGCTCGGTAGTTGCTACTGGCCGAGGAAAGGCGATGGTGATGTGTAAATAGGAGGCCTGGGTTGAGATGGGTAAATCTCCTTAAGCATCAAATGAGTGGGATACATAAGTACTGGGTTCTGAACTTAATTATGGTGTAAGGAATTGTTAGAAATCGAACAGGAAAAATTAGGGTTACCGATCTGGCTGAGTCGCGGACTAGGTCGCTCTCTTTAAGAGGTTCGCGGCACTGCCTAATTATACGCACAACAGACTATCAGCCGGTCGCCTCCAGGTTAAAACAACCTCTGCTTTTGTTACTCATCGGTTTTGTGCGAAAAACCGGAGCTCCTTCACTCTCTCTCTATGCTTAAGAGTCTGGGGCGTCTCCTATTTATACGAGCAGAAATCCCAGAATATTCCCTCTTTCTATGAAATAAGGCACATTTTAATTAGGGAGATAATTACTCTCATAATTAAAATATAATCTATTATGATAATTATTCCTAATTATCTGCATAATATTCCTTTTATTAATTATCCATCTTATTTTCATATTATGGTGAAAATACTGGATAATTAATTATGAATTTCATTTATACCTTTTCAAAGCTTTTCATCCCAACAGGAATTATATGGAGTGGGTATATATCTAACCATAAATATGTAAGAATTATTTGGGGTACGGATTGCCTGTTTGGGTTCCACGGGGAAAAATAAATGACGGAAGTGGGATGAACTAAAAGGAATTAGCATTTGGGTACCTTTGATAATTCTACAAGATTAAGTGGGGAAAGGAGGACTTAATTGGAGTAGAGTGATTACCTCATGGTGCTTATGTGTGTATGCATGGATTAATAATTTGGATTATACACACTGACAAGCATGTTCCGTATATATAAACTAAGTAGTTAAATGCCCATGAAATTGATTATTAAGTAGTCGAGTATGAGATGTTAGCATGCGTTATTAATTATTAATTAATTAATTAAAGACGCAAGTAATCAAAAAGATGGAACACTGTTCCTTACGATAATTTCGCCTACTATTTCGCTGTTCATAAGGTTAATATTACCTGTTGCTCTCTTTAAGACGTTCGCGGCACTGCCTCGTTATACACACAGCAGACTATCAGCCGGTTGCCTCCACTCTAAAACAACCACTCTGCTTTTGTTACTCATCGGTTTTGTGCGAAAAACCGGAGCTCTATGACTTCACTCTCTCTCTTATTTCTGCTCTTCTGAGGTGTGTTTAGAGGGTCTGGGGCGTCTCCTATTTATAGGAGCAGAAAACCCAGAATATTCCCTCTTTCTTTGGAAATAAGTCACATTTTATTTAGGAAGATAATTACTCTCATAATTAAAATATAATCTATTGTGATAATTATTTCTAATTATCTCCATAATATTCCTTTTATTAATTATCCATCTTATTTTCCTATTATGGGGAAAATTCTGGATAATTAATTATGAATTTCATTTATACATTTTCAAAGCTATTCATCCCAACAGGAATTATATGGAGTGGGTATATATATAACCATAAATATGTAAGAATTCTTTGGAATACGGATTGTCTGTTTGGGTTCCACGGGAAAAATAAATGACGGAAGTGAGTACCTTTGACAATTCTACAAGATTAAGTGGGGAAAGGAGGACTTAATTGGAGTAGAGTGATTACCTCATGGTGCTTATGTGTGTATGCATGGATTAATAATTTTGATTATACTCACTGACAAGCATGTTCCGTATATATAAACTAAGTAGTTAAATGCCTATGAAATTGATTATTAAGTAGTCGAGTATGAGATGTTAGCTTGCGTTATTAATTATTAATTAATTAGTTAAAGACGCAAGTAATCAAAAAGTTGGAACATTGTTCCTTATGACAATTTCCCATACAATTTCGCTGTTCATAAGGTTAATATTACATGTTGCTCTCTTTAAGACGTTCGCGGCACTGCCTCGTTATACACACAGCAGACTACCAGTCGGTCGCCTCCAGGTTAAAACAAACACTCTGCTTTTGTTACTCATCGGTTTTGTGCGAAAAACCGGAGCTCTATGACTTAACTCTCTCTCTTATTTCTGCTCTTCTGAGGTGTGTTTAGAGGGTCTGGGGCGTCTCCTATTTATAGGAGCAGAAAACCCAGAATATTCCCTCTTTCTTTGGAAATAAGTCACATTTTAATTAGGAAGATAATTACTCTCATAATTAAAATATAATCTATTGTGATAATTATTCCTAATTATCTCCATAATATTCCTTTTATTAATTATCCATCTTATTTTCGTATTATGGGGAAAATACTGGATAATTATGGAATTTCATTTATACCTTTTCAAAACTATTCATCCCAACAGGAATTATATAGAGTGGGTATATATATAACCATAAATATGTAATAATTATTTGAGATACGGATTTCCTGTTGGGTTCCATGGGGAAGAATAAATGACGGAAGTGGGATGAACTAAAAGGAATTAGCATTTGGGTACCTTTGAGAGTTCTACAAGATTAAGTGGGGAAAGGAGGACTTAATTGGAGTAGAGTGATTACCTCATGGTGCTTATGTGTGTATGCATGGATTAATAATTTTGATTATATTCACTGACAAGCATGTTCCGTATATATAAACTAAATAGTTAAATGCCTATGAAATTTATTATTAAGTAGTCGAGTATAAGATGTTAGCTTGCGTTATTAATTATTAATTAAAAACGCAAGTAATCCAAAAGTTGGAACACTGTTCCTTACGACAATTTCGCCTACAATTTCACTGTTCATAAGGTTAATATTACATGTTGCTCTCTTTAAGACATTCACGACACTGCCTCGTTATACACACAGCAGACTATCAGCCGGTCGCCTCCAGGTTAAAACAACCACTCTGCTTTTGTTACTCATCAGTTTTGTGCGAAAAACTGGAGCTCTATGACTTCACTCTCTCTCTTATTTCTGCTGTTCTGAGGTGTGTTTAGAGGGTGTGGGACGTCTCCTATTTATATGAGCAGAAAACCAAGAATATTCCCTCTTTCTTTGGAAATAAGTCACATTTTAATTAGGAAGATAATTACTCTCATAATTAAAATATAATCTATTGTGATAATTATTTCTAATTATCTCCATAATGTTCCTTTTATTAATTATCCATCTTATTTTCGTATTATGGGGAAAGTACTGATAATTAAGGAATTTCATTTATACCATTGCAAAGCTATTCATCCCAACAGGAATTATATAGAGTGGGTATATATATAACCATAAATATGTAAGAATAATTTTGGATACGGATTGCCTGTTTGGGTTCGATGGGGAAAAATAAATGACGGAAGTGGGATGAACTAAAAGGAATTAGCATTTGGGTACATTTGACAATTCTACAAGATTAAATGGGGAAAGGAGGACTTAATTGGAGTAGAATGATTACCTCATGGTGCTTATGTGTGTATACATGGATTAATAATTTGGATTATACTCACCGACAAGCATGTTCCATATATATAAACTAAGTAGTTAAATGCCTATGAAGTTGATTATTAAGTAGTCGAGTATGAGATGTTAGCTTGCGTTATTAATTATTAATTATTAATCAATTAAAGACGCAAGTAATCAAAAAGTTAGAACAATGTTCCTTATGACAATTTCGCCTACAATTTCGCTGTTCATAAAGTTAATATTACCTGTCGCTCTCTTTAAGACGTTCGCGGCACTGCCTCGTTATACGCACAGCAGACTATCAGCCGGTCGCCTCCAAGTTAAAACAACCACTCTGCTTTTGTTACTCATCAGTTTTGTGTGTAAAACCGAAGCTCTATGACTTCACTCTCTCTCTCTTATTTCTGCTCTTCTGAGGTGTGTTTAGAGAGTCTGGGGCGTCTCCTATTTATAGGAGCAGAAATCCCAGAATATTCCCTCTTTCTTTGGAAATAAGTCACATTTTAATTAGGGTGATAATTACTCTCATAATTAAACTATAATCTATTATGATAATTATTCCTAATTATCTCCATAATATTCCTTTTATTAATTATCCATCTTATTTTCGTATTATGGGGAAAATACTGGATAATTAATTATGAATTTCATTTATACCTTTTCAAAGCTATTCATCCCAACATGAATTATATGGAGTGGGTATATATAACCATAAATATGTAAGAATTATTTGGGATAGGATTGCCTGTTTGGGTTCCACGAGGAAAAATAAATGACGGAAGTGGGATGAACTAAAAGGAATTAGCATTTGGGTACCTTTGACAATTCTACAAGATTAAGTGGGGAAAGGAGGACTTAATTGGAGTAGAGTGATTACCTCATGTTTCTTATGTGTGTATGAATGGATTAATAATTTGGATTATACTCACTGACAAGCATGTTCCGTATATATAAACTAAGTAGTTAAATGCCTTTGAAATTGATTATTAAGTAGTCGAGTATGAGATGTTAGTTTGCGTTATTAATTATTATTAATTATTTAATTTTTTTTTTTTTGCATTGAGAGGAGGCCGCAGCCGAGCAAGAGAAAGAGTTACAGAGGCAGACTAGGGGATGGAGGAAGGAGGAGTTACAATGCGACGTTGAAAAGTAGCTCCTAACATATCATCTCTGAGCACTTGCTTTAGCCCGTTAGGTGGTTCCGCAAGCTCATACACACCGTAGGGATAGACGAGACTGTGCTTCGAGAGCCAGTCCGCGGCTCTATTCCCTTCCCTGTATGTATGAACAATGCGAACCAACCACTCGCGACTAATCCTCTTTCGAATACCTGCCAAGAGGGTAGCATGAGGGTGAATCGGATCGTGTCTTCTCTCAATGAGCTGAATGGCTAGCTGAGAGTCAGTTTCAATTTTGATTGCCCTGTGACCTTCCTTCCATGCTAGATCCAAACCATGGCTGAACGCCCATAGCTCCGCCAACACTGTTGTGGCAGTGCCCAAACTAGCCACAAAACCTTTCAACCACTTCCCAGTCCCATCACGTAAGAGTCCCCCCGCGCCTGCAGGTCCCGGGTTGCCGTTCGAGGCACCATCAATATTCATAGTGACCCAGCCGCTCTCCGGTCCTCCCCAGCCAATGTCTGCTAGGACGCGCCTCGCCGGCCTGCTCCTACTGTCCAAACCAAGGTCGGAAGAGTTCCAAGAATCATACCAGAGCTTAGTTTTGGTGAGGATAGAGAACTCCAAGGTTGGCGGTGTCATTGCCGCCCCGATCCCCTTGAAGCACGCCGTCGTACGGTTCTTCCAAATGAGCCACGCTGCAGTGCTAAAGAAACCCGGCCATTCAACACCATTTCCTGCAGAATCACCACTCTTGAGGTTCATACTAAGCCACTCCCGCTGATTGCAGCTGAAGAAGGATGCTTGCTGGTGTAGAGGAACGTGACGGGACCAGAAAAACAAGGCCGGGGTGCAGTCCCTGAGAATGTGCAGAACGGACTCCGGCTGACCAGCGCATCTCTCACAGTCAGGGCTATCCGCCACCCTCCTGCTGTAGCGGAGAACATTAGTAGCGAGCCTATCAAGGAAAGCTTGCCACATGAAACATCGAACTCGCTCCAGGGTGGGTAGCTTCCAAATAATCTTCCAAATGCCCTCGTCTTGGTCCGGTTGGTGCTGAGTTAGGAGACTGAAGGCTGACTTGGTGGTGAATCTCCCATCTGAAGAGGCCGTCCAAAACAATTGATCTTCCTCATCAGAAGCACTGTCCACCGCCACGCTCAGAATCCTTTGGGTCACTTCCTCGGGCAGAAGGTTCACAAAGAGCTCTGTCTTCCAGCAGCCATCTTCCCCCACCATATCCGCTACCTTGACTCCTTCCAGTTCCGGCGGGACGTTGTCGACAGCCAGCTCCCGGAGAGGAACCTGCGAAACCCAACAGTCAAGCCAGAAATGAGTTTTCCTGCCACTTTTAATATTCCACGCACACCCTTTCTTAAGTAGACTAGCTACTTTAGCAATGCTTGCCCAAGTAAAGGAACTTCCCTGAATTGGACGAATCATATCCAGCTCTTGACGATGACGACCATATTTTGCTTTCATCACCTGAGTCCAGATGCTGTCCTTGTCATGAAGGAGTCTCCATGCGCACTTGGCCAGCATCGCCAGATTGGCCTGTCTAGTGGAGCGGATGCCCACACCCCCTTGCTTTTTCGGCATTGTCATCTTCTCCCACGACACCAGATGCATCTTCGCTTTCTCTTCCTCGTCACCCCATATAAAATCTCTATTGAGCTTGTCAATAGATTTGCAAACTCCCATGGGGATGAGCTCCGTCTGCATGTTGTAAACAGGCAAAGAAGCAGAAACAGACTGAGTTAAAGAGAGACGGGCTGCAAAAGAGAGACGCTTAGCTTTCCAAGGAGCCATCCTCTTTTGGATGCGGAGAATGAGAGATTGGTATCGCTCTTTTGTCACTCTCTCCTGAATCGCCTGAATCCCAAGATACCTCCCTAGAGCCGCTTTAAGAGGGATACCCGCCCTCCGACTCAGCTGGCTAGCTTTCCGGCGGCTAATGTTGGGGGAAACATATAAAATGGACTTGTTGTAGTTGACCTGCTGCCCCGAGCTGAGGCAGAAGTCCTCCAGGCATTGCCTAATTGCAGTAATCTGGTGACTTTCTGCTTCCGCGAACAGGAGGAGATCATCTGCAAAGAAAAGATGCGTCAGTGGAGGGCCATTCGCAGAGAGCTTAACCGGCTTCCACAGTCCATCTCTAACAGCAAGATCAATTCTATGCGATAAACGCTCCATACACAAAACAAAGAGATAAGGGGAAAGAGGGTCTCCCTGTCTAACTCCACGAGACGGGCAAATAGGCTGAGATAGCTCCCCATTCCATAGGACCCGCATCCTGTTTTGCTCCACACAGTACATGATGCAACTAATCCAAGAGCTGGGAAGGCCGACTTCCTTCAGAGTGTCTCTTAGGAAATCCCACCTCAATCTATCATACGCCTTCTCTAGATCGATCTTGAACACCAAACCTCCCTTCTTGCCTCTTTTTTTCCTGAAAGAATGTAGAACCTCCTGAACGACTAATATGTTGTCGGCCGTTTGTCTTCCCGGAATGAAGCTGCTCTGCCGGGGAGAGACTAGTTTCCTCATAACCGGCTTCAATCTGCTAGTCATAGCTTTCGTAATGGCCTTGAGAGACACATTGTTGAGAGAGATAGGCCTGAGGTGAGTAACTTTCTCCGGGACCTCCACCTTAGGGATGAGAACCAGGGTCGAGTCGGTGACTGCGGGAGGCAGCTCTCCGGTCGAGAAGAAGGCAAGCGCCATGTCAGTCAAAGACCCCCCCACCACTCTCCACAATTGCTGATAAAAAGCCGCATGAAAGCCATCAGGCCCAGGTGCCTGGAACGGTTTCATATCAAAGATGGCCTTGTGAATGTCCATCGCTGTGAAGGGGCGAAGTAACTCCAGTAACTCCTCCAGACCCAATCGCGGAAATTGACCTGTAGGCAGTCTATCCTCATATTCCGACCCATCCTGCAGAAAGAGGTTAGCAACGAAATCAAACACTAATAAAGCGAGGGATTGGGGATCATTCACCCAATTATCGGACTCGTCTTGTAGTGCTTCGATTCTGTTCCTTCTTCTTCTGAGGTTGGTCTGCTGGTGGAAGTAAGCCGTATTTCGCTCTCCAAACTTCACCCATTTGTCTCTAGCACGTTGGAACCACAGCATTTCCTCTTGCTCTAGCACCCGATCCAGCTCCGCCTCAAGCTTGGAATGCAGCTTCGCAAGGCCAGGTGAGAACTGGTTGGCAAGACGGTCCTCCACACCTCTGATGCGCGCCAAAAATCTCCTCTTCTTTTGCTGGATGTTACCAAACACACTCGAGTTCCACTCCTTCAGTGTACCTGCAAGACTTGACAAAGCATTAGGAAGGAGGGCCTGGTTCTCCCAGGAGTTATTCACCAGCTCCTTGAAATTGGCATCACTAAGCCAAGCTGCTTCAAAGCGGAAAGGACGGCTGCCAGCTTCCGGATTGCCTTGCGAGAAAACCGTGGTCAGGATGGGGTTGTGGTCTGACTGGGTGCGAGGAAGATGAATCACCGAAGTGTTCGGAAACACCACATTCCACCGGAGGTTACACAAACTCCTGTCAAGTCTGCTAGCCTTCACTGTATTGTTCTCCTCTCCTCTTGTCCAAGTAAACTTTGGGCCCGAGAAACCCAGGTCCACCAGCTCAGCCGAGTTGAGACGCTCATTGAAAACCCGACAACGTCTCATCGTGTTGCTCGAAGGTGGCCCCGACTTCTCCCCCAGATCCCAAATGGCGTTAAAATCTCCCGTAAGCAGCCAGGCAACATCAATAAGCTTGCTCTGGTTGATAAGATTTTCCCACAGCACCCGTTGTTCACCTTGCCTGGGAGAAGCATAAATGGCAGTAAGAACCCACGGAGGATTTGCAGTGGAATAAACTCCAAGGGAGATGTGCTGACTGCACGCCGACAGCAAGCAAGGAGATAAATTGGTATCCCTCCAGAAAACCCATATACCCCCCTTGCGGCCAGTAGCTTCCACCCGCATCGACCTAGGGAAACCCAGGCTGTCACACACCGAATTCGCCGCGTCGCCACTGATCTGCGGCTCCAAAAGCAGGACAAAATCTAGCCGATGAGTTTGGAGAACTAGCTTCAAAGCTCGGAGGAAGGCTCTCCCACCTGCACCGCCAACATTCCACGCCAAAATTTTGAAATTAGGAACAAACGACATCGAAATTAAAAACGAGAAAGGACAGCAAAGGAGAAGACGAAAAACGGAGCGAGAGGGAAGAGTCGGGAGGCTAAGTCTCGGGTTGGGTGGCAGCTGCCGTCATAGCAGCATCCGGGTCAGCTTCCTCTTGGCAGGTTTCGCCAGTAGCTCCTCGACTTTCTGTCGATTGTTGGGCAGCTTTGGTCCAAGCATCGATCTCTTGAAGAGTAAGAGAAGCCATTCTGGTTTTTGATTTCAGCTTTCGATCCTTCTTGGGAGTCCACACTTGCAGTGCCTTCGTCGACATCAGTTTGCTCGGGGACCTAAGAGGAGCAGACTTCTTGCTCTTATTCTTCTTGATACGAGCTCTCGCCGGCGGTGAGTCCTGGACAGCATCACTCAACGGTTTCAGCTCCACAATGTGCATCTTCGTTCCATTAGGCCCGGTCACTGTATGGACTGCAGGGGGAGGAAGTGAGGAGGGTTTAGAGACAGGCCCAGCAAGCCTTGTTGATGACGGCCCGGAAGACATCCTAGCGAGGTCCATCTGAGTATCCGCCTGTGTGTACGAGCTGGAAGGCCTATCAGAGTTCCTGTTGTCTTTGGGCCCAGTTGTTTGGAGGTGCGGGCGAGTAGGGCTCGAGCCCAAAATCCCTTTGCCTGTTGAGCTGCCTTCTGAATGGGCTTTGGCTTTTCCCTTACTTCCTTCTTCTCCTTTCTTCTTTCCGTTGTTCCCTTTCCTTATTAGGTTCGCTGGGCTCTGTATCTGGGAAGAGGGAATTTGGGACTCCCTTTCCCTAATTTGGGGAGATTCTTTTCCGTTGCCTAGCAACATTCCCGAAGTTGCCTGATTTCCCGTCTCGTTCATATCCGCCGCTCCCCCCGGCCTTCCTTTTCTGTCTCCCTCCCTTTGATTCCGCCTGCTTCTCCGCGAGACCAACAGCCATGGCCCAAATCCCGGATTCGGCTCCTCCGGAATCTCCGCTGTCCCTTCCACCGGAGTTGCAGGCATGGGGCTTGTGCACGCCGGCGGCGGGAGTGCCGGGCGTTTCCCAGGGCACTCGTCCTCGTTATGCCCAATCTTTCCACAGGAGAAACAGACCGCAGGTAGATTCTCATATTCTACTTTCTGCCAAGCATCATCCAGCCATATCCGGGGAACCAGATGTTTGGATAAATCCACCTCCACCGCCAGCCGGGCGAATTTCGCACGTTGTTGATTCAGAGTGTGATAATCGAGTTTGATAGTGCGTCCGATGAGATTTCCAAGTGACGTGAGAACTTCCTTGTGGTAAAAATGAATTTTCAACGCCGGGAGTTGCACCCAAACAATCATGGTCTTTGGCAAAGGATCAGAGACTTTGAATTTGGGTGTCCATTGTTGAACCACTAGGTAATGATCAAAAATCATCCAGGGTCCATCAGTAAGCGCTTGAAAGTAATCCTGCTCGTTGCTGAGTTTGACCAGGACACAATCATGATCAAGGTCTCTGACTTCCATTGAACCAGATGGCCTCCACAGGCCTCTCAAGCGCGCGCATAGCGTCGAGAAACCGAGCTTGAGCCCCAGAAGTCGAACTACCAAGGCGCGTTGCCACGGAGCACAAATCTTGTTCTTGAATTCCGCAGACACCATTAGAGCTGGCTCGCCGTTCCGTTTCCCCGGCACAAGGTCATGTTCCCCCACCGGGGTCCATTGGCTACCTCCGTTGCTCCCCGTCAAAGGGAGGCTCCATCCCGCCACCGCATTCGCGTATGAAAACTTTTGCTGGCTCGTCGCGTGCTGATCAGGTTGATGTTCTGTTATCTTGGGATCAATCAACATCCCCGTCGCGTCTGGTTTGGTTACCGTCTCCGGAACCGCTTCCAATATCGCTGGGCTCGTATCCGGTGGCCGGTCCGAAGGGAGAAGTCCCGGCGTCGCCGGAGCAGATTCGCTAATCACAGTTGAGAGCATTTTTCAAACTATAACAATCATGTGGCACCCTATTAATTATTTAATTAAAGACGCAAGTAATATAAAAATTGGAACACTGTTCTTTACGACATTTCGCCTACAATTTCGCTGTTCATAAGATTAATATAACCTGTGGGTATGTCCATTAAAATTTTCCGTAAACCATTGGAATTTGGCCGGCCGAACAATTCGTTTATTTAGATTAGCAAATACACATTTCATATTTTTTTCAAATGTAATATTTTTTGTCAGTTAATTATATTATTATTCACACATTACGAAATATTTATGTGACACTACATTACAAATTTAATATTTACGTAAAATTTATGGAGAGATAAATATTTCTTATCTATCAATTAAGTTGTTCTATTATAGGTACGTACATTAAAAATGCATTACGTAAAACTTATGGAGAGTTAGATATTTCTTATGTATTAGATAAACAAACGCATTAGGTATTAATTACATTTCAGTTATTTTAACATTTTAATCGAATATAATTTTTCATACCTTGATTTTATTATTAGATCAAACATTATGAAATATTTACGTAACACTATTCTACACCTTTTTAAATGTTTTGCAATATTAGTTGTTTTTAAACATGTAGTACTTTCCGTAAATCATTTTTTTGCTTAGACTACACATTACGAAGATTTATGTATCAACACTAAAATTGATGATATAATTCTTTCGAAATGATTCAAACATAAAGTTTATGGTGGGTATTTACCTGAATTTTCTTATTTATATTACATTGTAAATTATTAAATAGATAAATTTAATTTCAAATATAATTATTCTATTACCGCTGGAGAGCGCTGGCTAAAAAACTAGACAGAAGGTCATGCAAAATAATTGAGTTGTGAGTAAATTCTAACCTAATTTTTATCTTAATATGATTATGGTATTGGGTCATGAAGCGGCCCGAGTACAAGGTATATGATGGCTTGGTAAGACTTAACCCAAATGTGATTGAAGGTTTCTATGTGGCATGGTTACATGATTGAATGATACTATGATTGGATGAGGTTACTATATCGTTGTAATTGTATGATAATGTAATGATATGATGAAATGATTGTATGATGATATGACCAGAAGGTCATAATACATGTTGTTATGTGTGTGCTAAACGATATTATGTGATGAGTATATGATATATATGTGAAATGCCATTTGAGGCTGTCAAGTGAAAAGAATGGCAAGAAAGTTTGGCTATTGTCAATTATACGAGATGATATAAAATGGCCTATGAGTCATGCACATGAATGTGATATGAAATGGCCCTTGGGTCACACAAGTGATATTTGAGTTGTGACTAACTATAAGAATTGCATGGTCACCTAAAGAAAACGTAATTGCGCCCTGTCATGCACTCATTTATAAGTGAAAAGAGGCTTGAAGCATAAGAAATAAAAGTTATACGAGAACTCCTTTTAAGGAGCAATGTCAGGCCTGGCTACAAGTTTATGAGATATGGAACCCTATTCCCCACGAGTTTACAAGTTCATAAGATATGGCACCCTGTGCCCACGAGTTAACGAGTTTGTGAGATCTGGGGCTTTGTGCCTATGAGATTACGAGTTCATGAGATCCCGTGAAGTGCGTGACTTGGAAAATTAAAGAATAAAAGCTAATGAATCCATCTAACTATATGTGTGCATGTGTGTGATTAGATGTTGATACATGGTTTATTTTGAGTGCAGCGTGGATACTTGAATGCCAATCTTATTATTTGCCATATTTGTGTGATATGTGACTAGATGGTAATCTTATTAGTATTTGCCATGATATATAGAATGTGAACCCTTACATGAAATATGAAATATGTGAAGGTGGATGTGTTTTATATGTGATATCGAGTGGCATGAGGTGTATTTTCTGATAATCTCCTATGACGAGTGGTACAATGAATAATTAGGAAACGGTTCTATAAGCAGTGATGATAATGTTCATTTAATTATGATACGACATGTTGATGTGTATAATGTTATGTGTCTATAATAACTCTCATGATGTAGCGTTAATAGAAGTGTAAAGATATGATGAAAATTTCGTATGCTGTATAACAATATATATGAACTATCTGCAACACCAGGTAGGGTAAAGTAAAGGTGAAAACCTAAACGAATCATGTATGACATATATATAAAAGCTCGAATGAATAAACCATAATGTATATGTGAAAGATCGAATGCTCGAGGGAAGAAATCCAGTATAAATCTACATAAATGAGACCTAAGTGAACTTATTAAGTGATTAAATATGCACTGAGTATAATGGACGGAAGATACTATGTGTCAAAAACATAGCCTGATATCATTTTCGTATTAGTATTTATATTAGGTTATTATTTACTCATTGAGTGACGTCTCACTCACGTCAATATTTTCCCCTCAAAGGATTAGAACGACATCAGTAGAGTGAGATGGATGAGTAATGTCGGACGAATGCCTACGAGGTGGGTAGTGGAACTGAAATCTCCATAAAACTTTCAATTAAAATTTAGGAAATACATAAAGTTTTTGCAAGCAAAAGTTTTAGAAAATACCATTTTTTAATACAACTTCGTTTTCTATGCGCTTCATATAAAGATTATAGGCAAAACAAGCATAAAATGGTCAAGGGAAACATTAGGGACAAGATTACACGGTAGGGTGTTACACATACCACGGTGACCACCCTCAATCCACAATGGCGTGTCCTCAAGACGCTTCTTTCCCATTCCATCTCCCCGAGCTACATTTCAGGTCCTATCGCGAGTGGAAGGGTCGAGGACGAGTTTCGGGATGATTGAAGGTCAAAAAGCGCAAAAACCGAAGAAAAGTCCAAAGTGAAGTGCATGTGTCTAGTAACCAGCTGCAGTTCACGGTCAGAGCTGCGAGTTTACGGCCGCCAGGACCGTGATTTGGGAACACAAACCGTGAACAGCAAGGTGTCCAGGGGGTTCCAAAGGTTACTGACGACAAGGCTGTTCACGCTCGCTAAGACCTTGAACTTTGAGCACAAACCGTGAACCCTGGGACGTGAAGTGTTGCTTTTTGGACACGACACCAAGTTCACAGCGCGTTTAGGTGTTCACGACAGTGAACTGGAAGGTCGTGAACTGGTCGCGATCTCACTGTAAATGGAGAGCTTAAAGGAAGAAGGGGAGCTTCATTTTCGGTTAGGTTTTCATTTACAGAATAAAGAGGACTCTAGTTAGAGGTTAGGGTTTCTTCTAGAGTTAGAAAGTGAAAATCAAAGGAGGAAGAAGGAGCTTTGGGCTTGTTCCTAGCTAGAGTATTGAAGATTTCTTCATCTCAAGGATGTCTTAAGCAACAAGGAGGAAAAATTGACATCACTTCATGGTTCTTTCTTCACCTTTTGTTGTTTTCTCTTTCTTAGCTATGGAATAGCCTACCTACTCGCTTGGGTATTGTGAATCCTAGTCTCTTTATATGTTAGGATGTAAGAACATGAACCTATTGTGTTGATTTAGTGTTTTGTATGATATTTGAGGTATTATTCATGAATGACTGAGTGTGCTAGCTTAAACTCAATATCAGGTAAAATTGACATAGAGGGTGGAAATCCCCTTTTGATCTAATAGGAAGCTGGACTTCTTAGCCACATGGGTAACCTCCTTTAGGTCGATTTATGACCAAAATCTCAAGTGTTGGAGTAGGGTTGTGATTCCACCGGGATTGGTCTCTCCGCAAACTGGATTAAGTTCCTAGGGTTTGGGTGGCAATCCTTAGTTGGATATTTGAGAGGGTTAGGTTTCCTAGCCTATCATTGTCACCCTTAGCCTCCCGCTAACATCTTTCCCCTTCTCTCTTTCCCTCTTCTCCATTGAGGGCACTGTCGAACTTAAGTGTGTGGGGGATGTTTCTCTTTGACTGTCTAGCTATGTTTGTGTGCTTTGAGCCTACTCCACCGTCCAAATGTTGATTTGAGGGCTCCAAGTATGTGTTCCTTGCAATGACCTGCTCGGTATGCTTTGAATTGACAGTCTTTATAGTACTATGTAATCTAGGGAGATAGTGTAGCGCTATGGAGGATGTTAAAGTGTAAGATCTCTCCTATATACCTTTTTGCTGTGCCGGTTAGTTGTGTGAACTTGTGGAAATAGGACATTTGATTCAGGTGATATCGATATCTCTCTCTTATTGTATGTGGACTCATGTCTCATGTTTTGTATAAGGGTGATCAAGTGTGTGATGATAAAGCAATTGGTCCTCCATGTCAGAAAAATTAAAAGGAGTTAAAAGAAGTACTCTATCGAGCGACAGATGTAAAAAAATTGGTCTTGCTCACCTAATAATACTCGAGTGGCATGAGGTATATTTTCTGATAATCTCCTATGACGAGTGGTACAATGAATAATTAGG